GGGGGGAAAGTCGCGAGGTACGCTTTGCGTAGTGCTTGGAATGCTAAATGCACATCCTCTGTGATACCCACCTGCCCTACGTACCTAATCATGCGCAGCATGTTTTTTGGGGCTAGCGCTTTGATGTAGTCATTGACTTTGTAAGGCTTGTACTGAATCAGCTTGGCAAGGTACTGTAAAATTTTGGACTGAGNACCTGCCCTACGTACCTAATCATGCGCAGCATGTTTTTTGGGGCTAGCGCTTTGATGTAGTCATTGACTTTGTAAGGCTTGTACTGAATCAGCTTGGCAAGGTACTGTAAAATTTTGGACTGAGATAGATTGGCACCAAAAAAAGTGACGGTTGGCAAATTGACACGAAAAAAGGTAACGGTTGGTAAATTGACACGAAAAAATATTCCGCCGCACGTTGCCTGGCGAAGGGCAGCAGCGGCGCAGCCTCAAGTTAAAAAAAAAATAACCCCAGCTGCACCGCTGCATCGCCGGGAAACCCAACGGTCGCGCTCCCTCATCACCGCACTCGACACAGAGCGAGGGGATGGCGCGCCTTGCGCGAGGTAGAATCCGCTACGAGTGGTATGATGAGTGCATGCAGGTTCTACTGCTTGCTGTGTTGTGCGCGCTAGCTGGAGAGGAGGACATGTTCCTCGAGATGGCCATGTTTGGCCTAATAGCAAAGCTGGAGACATGTTTCCTCTCGACTCCCGAGAACTACACTCCGCGAACTACACTCCCCGAATCCCAACCGCCGCCAGCGGCTTCGCGCTCCTAGTACGTGCGCCCAGAGCTACCGTCTCTTCCACCAACAACTGCTGTAACCTCTCCCTTCACGGGCGGGGCACCCGACTAGCTGCTGTTGTGATTGTCTCCCGTGTGCTTCGAGTCCAGAGTCCAGACAGACCAACCTCGGCGTGTGTTGTTCTCGATCCCGCGATGAACGCACACGATCCTAACCGCGGCTTGACGTTCCCCTAACGCGATGTACTCCCGGGAGCGTTGTGCTCACGTGTGTGGGCGCGCGGGAAGCTGCGTGCGAGCTTGCCGACTGAGTTGATGCCTTCGTGTGTGTGCGATGGCGCTCGTGTCAATTTGTCGTTTTCTCGTGTCAAAGTACCTCACGTGAAAATATTTTGACCACGTTTTCGAAAAATTCTGACGTGTGATTCTGACATGAAAAAGTGCGGCGTAACCTCTCGTGTCAAAATTCTGACGTCTCGTGTCAAAATTCTGGTCTTGTGTCGAAATTCGTGCTCGTGTCAAAAATCCTGACACACGTGGGACCCATGTATTTATTATCAAGCCGCATTTCCACTGTAGACTACTTGTAGTCAGCTGTTGCGGCACAGCAGCCGTCAGTTGTCAGTAGATGGAGTCGTCACATGTAGCCTCACCTACGGCGCTCCGGGAGGCAGCTTATTTGGTAGTAGCACCGTTGCCGCCAGGTGAGACATGTCCCTGAGGAACTCGGATATGTTCATGGTGTCCGTGCTGTCGGACAGCAAACCAATGCGCTGTTTCCACGCGAACAACCATCGCTTGATGTCGCTAGAGCAACGCCAGAGAGACCCTAGATGAACTATGTGTACGTAATATGAAAGAGTGCGACTTCGGCTGGTGGACGTTCAACTGCCCTCTTTTGCAAGCACCACAGCCGTCAGCTGCCCTCAGCCACGCTTGGTGGTGAACGACTGGGTGTTGTCCCGTAAGTCTGTTCTCCATGTCTCACGAAAAACGGTGGGGCCAACCAAAGGTTCGGGTGCCGGTTCGGGTGGGCCCTCACGGCACCACCGCATCCGCACACCTGCGAGCGGAGCACTGAGCAGCACCCCCTTTCGCATGTTTGCATCACAGATCCCTCTCATCTAGCTGAAGCTCTTCAGCACGAAAACTGGGTAACTGAAATCCTCTTAGCACCGGCATCGCCCAAGTCTCACCACGTAAAGAGGAACTTTTGGGGAGCGTCAGAAAAACACATGGGTCGACAGAGTATCCACATAGAGCGGCACCAAGAGAACCATAAACGAAACATATCGTTCTGTGGGGTTGTATCTACTTTCTGAAAACAGTGGGAATCTCCTGTACTGTAGACACCTATCTACATAGGGTGTCAGGGTAGAGGGTTCCTCAGCACTCGACCTGTCTATGTGATAAATTCTGCGTCTATAGACTATCTATTTTGGCCTCTGACGAAGTTGCTTCCTTGACAACTCCGGGGACAGTCAGAGACACGATCAGCTCCGATTCAGAGGGAAACCGAGAATCGCCTGCCATATGGGTAAGAAAACTCTGTAGCGTGCAAATCCTGGAACGCTTTTGCTACAAGCGTTGGGCTCGAGAAGGGGTAAGACTAACTGGGATCTCCGCGCTCTCCTCACTTGTCATCTTCTTGGCCATATTGTAGACGCTACTTGCATGCAAGACGCTTGGTTTGCGTTCTACAACACCTTGTCGATTTTCAACACATCGTCCATGACGGGAGAAAAGGTGACGCAAACGTGTGTGGGTGTGTTTTTTTTATTAGCATCGACCGCGCTATCCGGCTGACCAATTAGAAGACGTCAGTGCCAGCGGGTAAAAATCAAGGTCCCTGAAGGGGGCCAAAATTCGAAAAATGCGCAATGCGCTTGATGCGAATGCCAATAAGACTGTCTCATGTTCTTGCACGTAGAGACACATCTCAGCTACACAAATGCCCTCGCTCGAGTCTAGGAAGCCACTGATGCAAAGAGCGGAGGACAGCAAAAGGGTTATTTCAAGCCCAGCCGAAGCCAGGATATCGTGGCATGCTGCATCTCCCAATTTGATTATCGTAAACTCCCAAGTTCCAACAGGCATCGTGTCAGCAGCTGTAATAGGTGACTCAAACAGAATAGCAACACATACACTGCCATAGCTCCACACATGCCCTCGCCCGAACCTAGCAAGCCACTAATTCAAAGAGCGGAGGACAGCAAAAGGGTTATTTCAAGCCCAGCCGAAGCCAGGATATCGTGGCATGCTGCATCTCCCAATTTGATTATCGTAAACTCCCAAGTTCTAACAGGCATCGTGTCAGCAGCTGTAATAGGTGACTCAAACAGAATAGCAACACATACACTGCCATAGCTCCACACATGCCCTCGCCCGAACCTAGCAAGCCACTAATGCAAAGAGCGGAGGACAGCAAAAGGGTTATTTCAAGCCCAGCCGAAGCCAGGATATCGTGGTATGCTGCATCTCCCAATTTGATAATCGTCCACTCCCAAGATCTAACAGTCATCGTGTCCGCAGCTAGATGACTCAAACAAAATAGCATCACATGCACTGCCATAGCTTCACACATGCCCTCGTCCGAACCTAGCAAGCCACTAGGAAGTCACGAGGGAGTCAAGTCCTGCTCGCAGGTTCTCTTGGCTTTCCTTCAGGTGAACACGTCCAGGAATCCAGTATCCGAGCCGCCGCAGTAGTACTGTACTGTGTAGTAGTAGCAGGAAATCCAGCTTGTACGCCGGTTGTCCAAACATA